CTGGTTATGTCATAAAATAGTAAAGTTTGCAGGTTATGACATAAAATAGTAAAGTTTGCAGGTTATGACATAAAATAATAAAGTATGCAGGTTAAGTCAAAAAATAGTAAAGTATGCAAGTTATGTCATAAAATAGTAAAAGTTGCAGGTTATGTCATAAAATAGTAAAGTATGCAAGTTATGTCATAAAATAGTAAAGTCTACAGGTTATGTCATAAAATAGTAAAGTATGCAAGTTATGTCATAAAATAGTAAAGTTTGCAGGTTATGTCATAAAATAGTAAAGTTTGCATGTTATGTCATAAAATAGTATAGTTTGCAGGTTCTGTCATTAAACAGTAAAGTATGCAGGTTATGTCATAAAATAGAAAAGTATGCAGGTTATGTCATAAAATAGTAAAGTATGCAGGTTAAGTCATAAAATAGTAAAGTATACATGTTATGTCATAAAATAGTATAGTTTGCAGGTTATGTCATAAAAAAGTAAAGTTTGCTGGTTATGACATAAAATAGTAAAGTATGCTGGTTATGTCATAAAATAGTAAAGTTTGCAGGTTATGACATAAAATAGTAAAGTATGCAGGTTATGTCATAAAATAGTAAAGTGTGCAGGTTATGTCATAAAAAAGTAAAGTTTGCAGGTTATGTCATAAAATAGTAAAGTATACAGGTTATGTCAATAAATAGTATAGTTTGCAGGTTATGACATAAAATAGTAAAGTTTGCAGGATATGTCATAAAATAGTAAAGTTTGAAGGTTTTGTCATAAAATAATAAAGTTTGAAGGTTATGTCATAAAATAGTAAAGTTTGCAGGTGATGTCATAAAATAGAAAAGTTTGCAGGTTATGTCATAAAATAGAAAAAGTTGCAGGTTAAGTCATGAAATAGTAAAGTATGCAAGTTATGTCATAAAATAGTAAAGTATACAGGTTATGTCAATAAATAGTATAGTTTGCAGGTTATGACATAAAATAGTAAAGTTTGCAGGATATGACATAAAATAGTAACGTTTGCTGGTTATGTCATAAAATAGTAAAGTTTGCAGGTTATGTCATAAAATAGTAAAGTTTGCAGGTTATGTCATAAAATAGTAACGTTTGCGGGTTATGTCATAAAATAGTAAAATTTGCAGGTTATGTCATAAAACAGTAAAGTATGCAGGTCATGTCATAAAATAGTAAAAGTTGCAGGTTATGTCATAAAACAGTTAAGTTTGCAGGTTATGTCATAAAATATTATAGTTTGCAAGTTATGTCATAAAAAAGTAAAGTTTTCAGGTTATGTCATAAAAAAGTAAAGTATGCAAGTTATGTCATACAATAGTAAAGTATACAGGTTATGTCATAAAATAGTATAGTTTGCAGGTTATGACATAAAATAGTAAAGTCTGCAGGTTATGTCATAAAATGGTAAAGTTTGCAGGTTATGTCATAAAACAGTAAAGTATGCAGGTTATGTCATAAAATAGTAAAAGTTGCAGGTTATGTCATAAAACAGTTAAGTTTGCAGGTTATGTCATAAAATAGTAAAGTGTGCAGGTTATGTCATAAAATAGTAATGTATGCAGGTTATGTCATAAAAAAGTAAAGTCTGCAGATTATGTCATAAAATAGTAAAGTATGCAGGTTATGTCATAAAATAGTATAGTTTGCAGGTTATGACATAAAATAGTAAAGTCTGCAGGTTATGTCATAAAATAGTAAAGTTTGCAGGTTTGCAGGTGTCATAAAAAAGTAAAGTTTGCAGGATATGTCATAAAATATTTAATTCTCTAGGTTGTGTCATAATTGCACTAAGAATGTGCAAATATTGTATGCATAAAATCTGTCATTGAATGTGTCTGCATACATTAAAGTCATAATAAAGCATGGTACATAATGGATGTGTATTATTTGTTTCTTTTTACTTCCTTTGTACAGATGTTTCAAATAGGGATTTCTGCAGCCGGGTGGTTTAGGTGGTTAATTTCAAACCACTTGCCCTCACTGCTGCATGTTTGAATCGTCAAAGTACTTTTATTTCTATCACGTGAGGAAGCTATCCCGCTGACTTATGGAATGTTGGCGGTTCTACTCAGATACCCGCTTGTGCCTGAAATAATTCACAGAGGGCCACCTACTCCTCTACCAGTAAAGCTGGACTATGGACTATGACTTTCGTGTTGGTGCTATGTCAATCCCAACAAAAACAACTGATGTATATGCAGACCTGGGGATGACAACATTGATCAGTAATTGATTTAAGGTTTGACTGTAAATATAGATATCGAAAGTATTAGACCTCTTTCTCACAATAAACCCAACCTTGGTGACGATGTTGGGAGTTTATGATCAAGATATTGTAAACGTACAAAAATAAGTTTGTCCAAGCTTGAAGAAAGAAAATGATTGCTATTTTGTTCATCTTTTTGATGGAGAAGACAGGTGTAAAGTTCAACATTTCATAGAAGACAGAACAACCTTCATTATAAAAGTTACATTAATATTCTTATTTGTGCTTCTGTCAAGTTGTATTATTAATATATTGACGATTATGTCTACGTCCTCGCGAGGCGTTTGACATTAAAGGAAGATAGATAATTAGATTATGATGGGTATTGACACAATCTGATTATCTATCTTCTCCAAACAACGCTCCGCTTTAAGATCTGACCGTGACCAAATACGAAATTATTTCTGGTGACATTTCACACAGCCAATAATCGGCGAGATTTCATAATTTTGAAAGCGATGTGGTAACTAACTTAAACACTGGGAAAACCAATACTGGAATAGGTTATTTTGAAGATTTCTAGAACAAACATGGCGTTGTAAATATAGGCGACAGGTAAACTGGCAAAACGATCTGGCCCATTAAAAATTGACTCTAAGTTAATTTGCTATGAATTACTTTAAACACTTTTTTCTAACAAAAATCAACAATATGTCTTACTTCCATGGATAACGGTATTTTTATACTATGCCTATGTAAAGCCGATTTGATTGCTTGGCTAAAACAAGCTTTCTTTGGGAATCCGAATTATAAAGAAGGTGAAACATATACGGTCGTCATCAAATCTACATTAAAGGAATAAGTAGGTCTGAACTTCAGTCAAATTGGTGATTGACCATAAATTGATAATCAAAAATGTTTAGGATAAAATGTGTATACTCCCTAAATTAAAAAAAAAGCAACAACAACAACAACACTGCACCACGCTTTAAAAAAATATCGTTTATGATACATATTGAAATGTCCGTGAGACACCTGGCATATTGATAAATTCTGCATAATAAAATGTAAATTTGAACATAATTAAGGTAAATGGACAGTTATTTTGACTTTTACCTGTGCACTCACCTATATGATTTACATTCAAATGAGCATATTGTCACTTAGAAGGTTACAATGCTTGGTTAGTTGAAGACATGTGGTAAAAGAAAGAGGAGTCACTACCTGGAGATACGAACCCGTTCATTCCCAATGAAGGAATATAGGGTTAACGCACGTTTTTCCGTGTTATAACGTCTGCAGAGTCCCGAGGAACGGTTGGTGCCCTAGCCCGGTAGGGCGAGGGCTCCAACAGTTCCGAGGGACTCTGCAGACTTTATAACACGAAATAAACGTGCGTTGATGCTATTATAGCATAAAATTTTAAAACAGATTCATTATTTATATATTATCGCATGGCTGTGAGCTTTTCCTTTGTTCTTTCCAACCCATTATACTCAGTACACTTCAATGAGCATTTCAAAACTGTATTGATATATAACAGTACAGTTTTTTTCATTGATTCATATAGGAAAAAAACTCGACTGTTATATATCGGTCTAGTTTTTTTCGCACCTTGTATATATCAATACAGTTTTTTCATAGAGGCTCCAATGGGGCAGTGGTAACGACTATTCCCAGTAGCAAAAAAAACCCATAAGATAATAAAAAATGAAATCAATAAAATAAAATAAAATAAATATATAAATACAATGAAAAATATAAACAAAGATAATTAATGAAATGAAAAAAGCCCTTTAATCTTAAATCAATCTTGGTAACAGTATACAATCCGCCTCTTATATTGGATGTCTTTTGTATATTTTTTTTGGCAGCGAAAACAACTTGAAAAACTGCCTTATGATAAATAACTGTAATGTAGCTAACGATTTATTTATTTATTTCTATTACAAAAAAAACATTATGACATTGCGATAAAACAGTTAAAGTATATGAAACTCGTTAGTTACGGGGGTATAGCACTGGCTGGGGCGGCATCTCGGGATGTCTATGCAAAAACAATTGTCTCGGCCTAACGGACTCGTCATTTTTTAGCAGAAACACCCCTTGATGTCGCCCCAGCCAGTGTTATACCCTCGTAACTAACTCGTTTCATATACTATAACTATTACATATATAAAACACAAACATTAAATCCTTGTGCTTGAACGGTATTTATCCAACTCTACATGTTTTACGTATGCGTTTTAATTTTTCCGGGGCCAACAACTTGAGAACCGAACGAAATTTCAAATTTTAATAAATTGATTTAACAAAGTTTCCCAGATAGCATTCTATATGGGACCCATGTGGGGCCCATATGGGCACCTATATGGGTCCCATTTGGGCTGCCCATATGGGCCCCATATAGGAAGTGCAACCGGGTTCCAAATGGGCAGCCCTTATACTCAATATGGGATTCACATGGGCCCCATCTGGGCAGCCCATGTACACAATATGGGCCCCACATGGGCCCCATATGGGCAGCCCTTGTACTAAATATGGGTTTCAAATGGGCAGCCCAGATACTTCCATTATAGGTAGATTTTGAATTCCGGGGTAGATCTATTTTCAATTACTTCAATTATAAGTTTGCTGAACGTTTAGATAGCAACCGCTTGCTACAGAGCAGGATTCTTGTACTTGCGTTAAATATTCAAGTGATGTTTTAACTCATTCTGTTTCCTGGAACAGACAGATTATGGCACAAAGCCTTTATGATCATGCAAGAAAACAATACACAATGTATATGCTTTAACAATGTAACTTTATTTAGTAATCTCACTTATGGTAAGTGTATATCATATATATACAGATTCTCAATACATTCTGTGGACGCCTGATGTCAACAAAGAAACCTTTACTTATGTAAATAAACTTAGAAAAGTGTACAATATAAAAATCCGAGTAAACTGTACATATTTGTAAATCCACAGAATTTCATTTTGACTACATAGTTTTTAATTCAAAAATACAGAAATATTAATTATTATTCAAAAAGTCCTATGTAGTAAATATTACTTTGGTACACTAAATAAGCAACATGTAATGGAAAACTGTTTATAATGTACGAACAAAATAATTAAAAATGCAGTTTTATAACATTAGATACCTTACAGATCACTATAAGGAAAAATGAAACTTATGCTAGACACTGGTAAAACTTTACAGAAGGTCTTTGGAACTCCAAGAAATATATGTGTATAATGTTTAAATTTCAGTGAATCAACAGTATGACCCCAAATGTCTTTTTAACTTTCTACATAATTCATAGAAAAAGTATTATACATTTACTGTAATTCATTACAAATTTCTATCTACCAATTACTTTCATTTTCAAATGATATAGATCTACATCAATTAATATAAAAAGTTGTTCATTACAACCATGTATTACACTTTGGTATGGTAGTGCTGAAGAAAAAAATGTTATGCAGCTCGTGAAAAGTAACAAATATAATAAAACAAAACCTTGGCACAGTTGTAATACTGTTCATAGATGTGTAAACAAAATATTATGCAGCTGATGAAAAAAAATTAATATAATTAACAAAACCTTGGCACGGTTGTAATACTGTTCATAGATGTGTAAACAAAATATTATGCAGCTGATGAAAAAAAATTAATATAATTAACAAAACCTTGGCACGGTTGTAATACTGTTCATAGATGTGTAAACAAAATATTATGCAGCTGATGAAAAAAAATTAATATAATTAACAAAACCTTGGCACGGTTGTAATACTGTTCATAGATGTGTAAACAAAATATTATGCAGCTGATGAAAAAAAATTAATATAATTAACAAAACCTTGGCACGGTTGTAATACTGTTTATAGACGTGTGGACAAAATATGCAGCTAATGAAAAGTAACAAATATAATACACAAAAGGTTGGCACTGTTGTAATTGTCAACAAAATATGCAGCTAATGAAAAGTAACAAAAAGTAATACAAAAAAGGTTGGCACGGTTGTAATACTGTTTATATAGACGTGTTAACAAAATATGCAGCTAAAGTAACAAATATGATACACAAAACCTTGGCACGGTTGTAATATTGTTAATAGACGTGTAAACAAAATATGCAGCTAATGAAAAGTAACAAATATAATACACAAAATCTTGGCACATTGAAATACTGTTTATAGACATGTAAACAAAATATGCAGCTGATGAAAAGTAAAAAATAGTTTGTACAAGTTTGTAAAAATCAATAATAATTAAAATGTGATATTACACAAAGATCAAATTTGTTGTGAAGAAATTCATTAAAAAAATTGTCAGTAAAAATAGTTGGTTTCAGTAATTTCTCCGATATTATCAAAGTTTCAACAATAACAACAATAAAGATTACAAGAATCATCATTGTAAAGTATTTCAACTTTATTTTAAAGGTTAATACCATATCAATACATGTGTTCCCTGTTAGTGTCAAGTTTTGACAAGATGTTATAATTGTATTGATCAGTATCAAAAACATTCCCCAAGCATTTAATGTCTTGATTTAAATAGTAACAATGTTTTTTGTTTGTTTGTTTCATTTTACGCCTTTTACGTCATATAGGCGGGTAGTTTCCTAACCATCGTTTCTGGAGAGTTACACCAGTACTAGACTTCCTTCCTCCGTGCAGTAACAATGTTTAATGGAAAAAAAAAACAACAGCATATAGACAACAGAAAAACAGCATATAATGTCAACAACAAACATAACATAGCAGCAGAATATACTGACTAGAAGGCAAAATTTGACTAGACAAGAATTTTGCATTTACAAGAAAGACATGCTATGCTGATGACCTCAAACATTTAAATTAGCAACAAAAAGTATAACAAGATAAACAAATGAGCCGCTTAATGTAGTTCTGACCCTTATCACATTTTAAAAATACCTTGATACATATTGACTTTCAATCAGTGGAATAACTTATATGCAGATGAAGTAAAGGTTTGAAAATGTAAAATAAAAGTCATTTATTTTATGCTTTTGAGTGTATTACTGATGTATCCGTGAAAAATATATTTGATAATTTCACAGTGAAATGATTAAAATTTCAAACTTTTCTATGATAGGAGAGTACTTTTTAAAGATTTTATCATCATTCAAATTTTTTGAATTCAATAAATAATATCATGGCTATTCAAAGTTGATTGTCAAACTTATTTTTCAGCCCAAGACTTCCTGTATTTATGAGAAATTGGACTTAAATTCAACTAAAATTGATGTTAACAGTGGGGAAAACAGATTTAATATTAACGTTAATATTGAGGAAATTTCATTAGCATAAAATAAAAAGACACTTTATTGTTTGTTGTGTAAGATGTAATTTTATATCATTGAAGGAACTTTAAAAAACAGTGTTCTCACGAGCGCATAGCCACTCATGAGAATACTGTTTTTAAAGCTCTCTTGATGATATAAAATTTCATCTTACACACAAACAAACAAATATCCTCTATAAATTTGCATTTTTAAATTAAAAACATGTCTAGTCACTTCCTTCATTTTCTTCAGGTAAGGTCTCTGACACTTTGTTTCTTGCTTTCCTTCCCCCATCGCGGTCCCGCGCCCCAGCCAGCCACTTTGAAACCTCTATTTCAACATCCTTCCTCGTTGCAGCCTTTGTCGGCAAGTTCCTTTGGACACATTCTACAAAACAAGCATTCTTATCCTTAAGAATGAAATGAAGTGAAATGAAGGTATTGAAACCATTCAAAGGTCATAAGCCACCTTGTAGCATTTTGAGCAGTATAAATTGGAATATAAACTAATTCTGGTATGTTTTACCAAATATAGATGTTTGTTTCCTGGTTTTACATAGCTTTTAACAATATTTCTGTGATATCGCTGCAGTCAGTTGTAAGCTGAGATCATCTTATCGGTGTATCAGTAAAGAATGTTAAGGTAAGCAAATAACTTGCTTTACAGGAAGGTGATTTCTGTTTATATTATGCATCACAACACAATGCATGGGATCAAAACCACACAGCATGTAAAATATTCTCTCTTATTAATTTCCATAAAAGCTAGTCAAGCATTTTCCTTCATTAAAGCAATACCCGAAGACACAATAACAAGATCTTGGATAATATATCTATTTTGAAGACACCACTTTGCAAATTTGTAAAATATCACTTACTATACAATACATTCAGTATCTAGAGGCCCACAAACTTTTTCTTCCCCTTCAGCCACTTCATATTGTACATTCTTGCCAGTTCATTTGACATGGTTTCTTTCATCAAGCGGTCAACAGTTTCCCGTACATCTGCCATACCAAACATTGAGAGGAACCGCACCTTAAATAAAGCAGAACATAAACTTTTTTTAATGTTTATTTTAACACTACTAAGTGATGGGCTGCAAGTCACCAAATGACAAATAATTGTCAACTGGACCTCAAAAACATGATCTGCCAAGAAAACTGTTTGGATTGACAAATTAAAAGATCTTTTCTCATATATTTACAGCCTAGGACAACACCTTAGTGACTTGTGCCTTTATGTTTGCCCCCTCCACCGAGTGTTATGGGCACATTATCATTGTTTTTTTTTATACAAGAGTTTATTCAATATCAACAGAATAATTTTTGATAATATAATAACAGCTCAATTCCTGGATTTTGTGGGTACTAGTCATTTTCCTGGTATTTTGAAAGCTGCCAGCATTTTGATTAATGAATTGACTGTCTTGTCCTAATTAATAATTAATGTTGAAAACGAGGCCAACTGCCCATGTCTTGTGCTCATGGCTATTATAGCATATATAAATAACATAACTGTGTCAATATGAATCAAAAAATTAAAACATGCCAGTTTTTAATTCTGAAATTAATGCAGCAAAGTGTTTGTCCACTGTGCAATATTTTCCAACATAAATATAGCAGAATGATTATACATTATCATCAAGTGCTCACCACAGACCATTATGTTATTTCGCTTTTAGGCCAGTGGATATGGGGTATACTTTTTTCAGTTACTAATGGAGCAACATACATGACTAACACTATGCTTACCACAGATGAGAGCATTTTCTGATCTCCCAGAAGCTCATCGAATGCTTCTATCTGCTCAGGATAACGAATAGGGAATGAGATATCTTTCGGAAGTTGCAGCGGTTGGTCATCTGCTGCTGACCTTAACAGCATTCGCTGCACCATCCTCTTAATTTCACGATTCTTCTCTCGCATTGTCTCCAAGACTCGGAGAATCTGTGTAACAGCAGCTGAAAAAAAGGATTCATAATTCTAGGCCATATACTTTTAGAGCTATGTGAATTACAAATGAGCCATGTCACGACAAAACCAACATAATGCGTTTGCGATCAGCATGGATCCAGACCAGCCTGCGCATCCATGCAGTCTGATCAGGATCCATGCTGTTCGCTTACAAACCCTATAACAAGTAGAGAAACTGATAGCGAACAGCATGGATCCTGATCAGACTGCGCAGATGCGCAAGCTGGTCTGGATCCATGCTGGTCGCAAACCCATTATGTTGGTTTTGTCATGACCCGGCTCAAATGAAAAAAATCCAGTATTTTAAATTTTTCCTTGGCTTTAACAGTAATTAACGCTAAAATCTCAAAAGGATTGTTGAGTATGCAAGGTCACAAAATGTGAAAATGATAAGAAATCATGAATGAAACTTAACATATTTTTGAGCCTAGGCATGACCGCATGTCATTTGGTGAAAATAAACATTCTTGACTCTTCCAGGGACCGTAACTTTGGATAACAGTAGTGGGGTCAGGCAAGAATATGCGCACAAATTCACATCATGATAAAGACTAACACAAGTAATCATCAATTTCTTTTGAATATTTTTTGAACTAGGGGCGTCACAAGGTGAAACTTTCCATTTTTGGCTGTGTCACTCAATCCAGCTTGTTATAACATTTATTGACTTGTTTTGAGAATATAACATTTAATAAGTATGTACTGTAATAATAAATATATTTATAGCTCCGAAGTTTATACTTACTGGGCCCAATAATCTGCCCACGGAAGGGTGTATCAGAAGCACCTTGTATTGGAGAAGCACTTTGCACATCACTGCTGGCCTCTCGCAATGCCTGTGCAGATAAGCGAGGCGGAGATGAAAGTAGGCTTTGTGACTCTTTGGGCGTTGTTGCTTGGTCAATAACTTGTGGTGGCCTACTCTCTGTGTCTGTCTCATTCTCATCAGTGCCACTATCCGATTCATACAGCCTTTTTGATGGCCTATTTACAATAAAATGAAAATACATTAATAAGTAATTATAAAATACATATACATTAAGTGAGTTATTGCGCCAAGTGACAATATGATTATGACCCGTAATCGGCTGGCAAACATGTACTAGTCTATGTTTACGTACCGAATTGTTGTGCCGCAATTTTGTCTACCAAGGATTTTTAGCACGAATGCGTTTGTTTCCCCGATAGATATTTCATGAACGGGAAGGGCTAAAGACTTGGGGTCGGTCCCATTTGGAAGCTTAATACAAACGTGAAAGTGATAAAAGATTTTTTTAATTGTCTGGACAATTGTTTTCACAACGGCCCGGGAAGTGAATCCCTTGCTTGCAGGCTCGAATCTGGAGTTTCTGGCCTTCTCTTAACTTAAAGTATGTTTTTAAAGGGGGGTATAATTTACAATTTTTTTTCGGTTTTTGATTTTTAAAGATGAACACAGGTTTAATTATCTATCGGGTCATATTTTTTCTATACTCGTGCCTGTGCAACATAGGGCTTGGTTGGTACTTGGAAAAAATTAGTCCTATAAATATGACGTCGCTTTGAGATATTTTTGCTTCTGGGCAAAGCAACAGGCTTGACCGACAAAAACTATAACAAGCCTGTAACGTCTAATATATTGGACTAGGAAAAAATACTTGAATTTGTAATAATAAGTATTTGCATTTAATATTTTAAAATGCTTATGAATGAAATATTGGTACAAAATGGAAGGGACTTCTAAGGCTAGGAGGGGTCACTGGATTTCAAATGATGGTGTCCCTTTAAAAAAGGATCTCTTAAAATTTAGTCTAGATAGAAACAATATTATTAAAATGTTAGTGTCGACTCCGGCACAGTTAAGTTATTCAACAATAACAACTATACACATCCATAGGTCTGCTAAAGTGCCTAATAGTGGGCGTAAATTCTAGAAAATGTCGCAAATTAAACTGACAAAAACTATCGCGAAATTACATGGCAAAGGCAAAAACAAATAAAATAAATGACGTTTACACTTACCTACACACACAATAAATCTGTAAGGATATAATATGAAAGGTCGTTATACGAAATCGTCGTTAAATGTTCCGAATTGAAATGAAATATTGTTTTCGTGTTCAATTTTACAATTTAACGTTTCAATACACAATTTGATTTTAAGCGGCAGCGGAAATCACGTCTGCGCATGCTCGAAATAAATTTTTCATCAAATGCTGATTTTTATAAATTATTTCTGAATTAATAGTCTAAAAGCACATTTTTATATTTAGATTATAAGAATTAAAACCAATATAAAAACTAAACAAATTAATTTCTCGCACCTGCTCAGGCATGCTAATATTTATTGGGTTGCCCGAATGGGACCCATATGGGTCCCTCATGGCTTGTATATATGTTAATGCCACGATTTTTATAAAAGATAATAGCAATTTATGCCAAGGTGGTCACACTATAGCTCAAAGTAAACAAGTTCTAAATAAATAAATAAACGAAAAATCGTTTTTCCTTATAGTGCTGTAATATGGGACCCATATGGGTCCAATATGGGCGTACCTAAATGGACTTGCCCATATTGGTCCCATATAGGTCCAATATGGGCATACCCATATGGGCTTGCCTAGATATAGCCCATATGGGTCCCATATATGCATGTTTGCTGGGTTAACTTTGGAGATAATAATAACTTAAGAAAAACATAACATTACTGTACCCAAGACAAAACAGGCGCCTCAGAAATTCCTAGAATGGTTACAGATTGGCGGTAAGAAAAAGATCAGTGACATCAGATTCAATTTCAGAATCGGTTTTTTTAAGCACGCAAGTTTAAAAAAAATCAGGCATAAAACATTATTCTCTCAAAGAAACATACAGAAATTTAACAATATAAACGTCAATAAAACAACGTTTTCTTATATTCATTTTGTGCTTTCCATATTTGTAAGTTAATCGGGGGATTTTAAACTGAATGACAGATTCTATTTGTTTACACTGACAACTGTCCGTTTCTTAGAAAGGGCGACAACCATTAAGATAAGCGGCCATGTCTATACGCCGTATTGCCGGCATAATTACTTGAATGCTGCTCGCCGTTATGGTGTCACCCCGGTACGGAATTAGACCCAGCCCGTTGTAGTCTAGAAAGTAGTTCTTTTAAATTTTGAAATGGCCTATTTCAAGTCATCTTAATTGATACTGGTTATATTTTAAGTATATCTTTAGTAATTATGTACATGAAGTTTCATTTCTGAGTACTTTAAAGGTTGTTTTTGATATATTTTTGCAGGATTTCATTTCTGGGTGGAAGGTTTCATGAGGCACTATGCACAAGAATACACACCAGTTACTATTTGGAATATTCTATAGTGATTACAGAAATTAAAAGCTGCAGAAAAACTCCAAGGGCTAATGTATTATTTTTTGTGCTAAATTTACTTGGACTGCATTGGTGTTTAAAAAAATGGTCATGAAGTTTCGGTACCGGATTTGCTTTGTCCAGAATTTAGCCTAAAATGTGATGGATTTACTATAGGATATATGGGTCGAAAATTCAGTGGGCCGTCTCCTTATGCGACTGAGGCCCTCGAATTAATAATTCCAATATAACAAGAGCGCATGACTCTGGCAAACAGGCCAAATCGTCTTTTTTGTTTGTTTACTGGGCCCTGAGATCTATGTATTGCGCATAGGTAAAAAAACCGGGCTATAACAAGAGCGCGTGACTATGTTAACGCATGGTTTTGGCCCCGTTATAACATGGGCAAAAAAGGGAAAAATAGCCGATTTTATGCTATAAAAGGCATAATTAACTGCTCTAGTGCCCATATGGGATGAAGTTTAACAACATTTCAAATGTTACAACGATTCTATAAGGATAAATATTAAACCCGCTGTTTAACAACTGTATTTAAATTATGTCCTTGACTTTGAATTTACAGGCAGCAGCGCCACATAAGAAAGGTAACAAGGACTAACATCTAATTGAACATATAGAGAGGCATCGCTTATGAACCGTCAACTGCAAAGCCACAACTGAGGAGATGTTTGTATGAAATGGTTGGTGCACCAAAATTAACATGTTCCTGTAATACGACATAATGTAAATAAAATTATACTAAAATATACTAAGATTTAAGAAAAGTAAAGATATTCATAATTTATGAAATAATTTACATGTTATACGCCTTTAATGACTGATTTTGAAGACTTTATTACCAGATATCTACTGAGTTACTAACGCAGTTACGGCTATCACGGATTTATATTACAAGCTCAGATTTCAGCAGCTTTTCAGGCTAAGAGAAGGGACAACCTTTTCAAGTGCACCAATTGGCAGGTAACAGGTACAATGTGTCGATCCAATGTCCAAAAACAAGCGGTGCGCCCTTTCTGATAAAGTTTTAAAGATGTTGAGATCACTCTTAAAGTGTGTATATAAGTTGGAAAGTACGCAAAGTTTTGATCATTTGTGTCGCAATGAATGGTCTTTTATACACCCTATTAGCATGATGTTTGCAATATTAATGGAAAGACAAATACCAGGGGGTCGCACTATTCACGAGGTTTACATTTGTACAATCGCAACTTTCCGGCCATGTCCGTCAAACTTCGGATTAGTTATAATGAATAATAGCTGAGATGTTGCGATTTCTTTTGCAATCTGAACGAATGCAAAGGACACGGTCCATTAAAAATTCAATAAAATTGATCTATTGATTGTTGAATTTCCGATGTTTGAAACATTTCTTAATAAGATTAACCATATACTTGGTAGTGTTTGGCAAGTGTTTTGGTAATATCTTTAAAATTTTCTTCTCCGACGAAAGGTCATTGAATATTCAAATGTCTTGGTCAATATAGTGCCAACTTGTAGCGCAACTAAGGGGGACCACTGCGTCAGAGTTTGGTACATAGATATGAACGAGCATTCTCCCTTAGATAGTAAATTCCAGACAGAAGTTGACGATTTTTTCCATTCTAATAAATTTCTTTAATTATATTTTTGTTACTTTTCTAACTTTTCATGGTTTTTTTCAGATACATTATCTCACATTTTTTTCTTTTTAAAAATGTATTTATTTCATTACGACAATTAATTGATCATTGTTCAATTACAACTGAACTAACGCAATATCTAAATTCTAATAATACATTAAAAATCTTCATCAAAACATTTCATTTTTTTCCCATTATTACTGTATTTTTTGCATTAAAAATACCCGTTAATCATTCTAAACAATTGACATTAATCACTGAAAATAAAATTGTTATTGCCTATTTGTCACTCTGTCTTTTAAATTTAATTACGTATATAATCTGGAGACCGTCTATTTGTGTTATATAACATTCTAATCGACGGTCACCTACAAATGACGGTCTTCGAGGACCGTCGAAGACCGGAGACCGGAGACTGTCTATTAGTATCCCCCTAATTCTAATAATCTAACAAAATATTTCGGTAAATAGTTAGCTAGATCAGTAAAGTAAGGTTCACAAGGTATTTTTGATTATCAAAATATAGAGTTATTAATTTTGCATACTGTAGCAAAAAATTTTTATAAAGTTCATGACCAGCTTATTCTTACGAGCGCTATTATTTAACTTCAGGTTGTAAATCATAATTCTAAAAATGATTAATATTTGCAAATGTCTCCGAAATGCAAAAGTGTCATGTAGAAAAAATATATTTAATGAATATATCAAAACAGTTTGTATACCTTTACGAACATATTATGTCGACGAGGCTCCAACAATTGGTAAAAGTCCGGACAAAACAAACCCCGACTACAAGGTTAGTAGTGAAAAATGAATGGGTGGGGTATTGATCAATAACACATACAGTCGGTGCGTGGTTTGGATTGTATGTATGTTTATGACAACTCCCGCATTTTTGTTAAATTAAATAATTTCTTTTTCAAAATGTTTAAAAAAAAAATTTTCAGTTAAACAACAAAAGAAAGTTGTTATTATAATTTCAAGTTTCATCCATTTATCAGTAGATCTATAGACCTTTTTACAGTACAATTTTTCCACAGCAACCGATGTTGCAATGCATTTCACGCATGCGCATTCTGCGTAGAGCAAAAGCTCAATAACGATAGACTACATTTAGCGTACTTGAAGGCAATAAAAGACATGATTATAAGTTATGTCACCCAGAAAACAGAACTGAATCAGGTGTTTTTTTTAAGGAAAAGGGGAAGACACTGGACGCTGGTAGGGAGGGGAAAAATATACGAAAAAAGGTCAATTATGGGAAATTATGATGTTATTTATACTATATACTAAACTACATAGTGGAGAGTCACACCTATATTTTTTCCCCCTAAAAAACTTCATCGTGCAAAATATTTTGTGCAGTATAATTTCTTAATATGTATGGTGGTGAATGGTTTTTAGACTTCCATTTTTGTATGAAATTTAACACATT